TATCATATTCTGCATGATCATTTACAAATTTTCTACAATTAATATCTCGATAATTATTGCGAATATCGCAAAACGGTATAGGACTTTTATGTTCACATCAACCCATTCTACGTCCCCACAAAATTACCGGAGGAGAGTGTGAGACATCTTGTGTGTGTGTGTGGGTGTGTGAGTGTGTGTGTATATATATAACACTCAATACATTATATTATATTTTTCATGTGCCCCTGCGTACATTTTATAACAATATTATAGTAAAATATAATAATTCTTTAGCATAGAAACATGATAACATTGTTATTGTACATATAATATTGTTATTATATATATGCATATTTTATATATTATACATTAAAAATATGTGGAATATAATTGTTAGTTTTTGTATCCAAAAAACTTATAGAAATACGTAGATCTAAACATGTTGTACTTATTACAACAACATTGTACTTATATGACAAATTAACTAACGTTGTATTTATTTTCAACAAATTAATCTCCGTATACATAAAGTACAAACAACTACCTTTCTTTATCTGCAAATCACAAATAAATAACCTTATTATTAATTGATACAATAATAAGTACAGGAGATATATAATTCTTGATATTAAAATATGTGTTATTCTTATTATTCTATCGAAAATTATTGAGTTACCGAGCAAAATTAATATTACGCTATTTATAAAATTTAACGAACTTTAATAGTAAAATTGAAATACTTCAAAGTAAAAATATTCTTTTGTAATGAAACGTTTTTTCGAAGTTTACTTTCACTAAATATGTGCTGCGATGTTCATATAACTATTAAAATGTTATTATGAAACAATCAAAATCGTTTACTCCTGTATTTAATTTAATTTATACGGTTATATTATTATTATACAAAATTATAATAATTAGTTAAGACAAAAGAACATTTATGATCTATTTCGCGTTTTGAATTTTTAGTAATAAACATATATTATAAGTTACTTTTAACCCAAAAAAATAATTATATATAATTATATGTAAAATTATGTGTTTATAAATTATATATAAATTATATATGAAATTTGTTCATATATTCTGTATACACAACACACACACACACACACACACACACACACACACACACACACACACACACACACACACACAGCGTGTCTCACACTCTTCTCCGGGCATTTTGTGAAGACGTAGAACAGATTAAGGTAAACATAAAAGTCCTATACCGTTTTGCGATATTCGCAATAATTATCGAGATATTAATTGTAGAAAATTTATGAATAATCACGCAGAATATGGTAAATGAGTTATTGTAGCGGCGACTGTCGTCGTGTACTTATACTTTATGTCAAATTGAACAAAAAAGTCCTCTACCATTTTCCAAATAATCACATAGATTTTTAATTATTAATTAAAGAAGATTATTGCACAAGTTTGCATGATAATGCATTCAACGGCAAAAGTGAGAATAAATATTTAATATGCAGAATTAATCTGATAAATTAAGATATTTTTTTTACAGTTTTTATATTATATTAGGATTACATATTAAGTTAAATTACAATATATATATATATATATATATATATATATATATATATA